AAAAACAAATAAATTCATAAAATAAAACAAAATTCGAGAGTTTATAAACTTGTTTTCTGTAAATAAACACCGAGTCTAGAAATTAAATAAAATATGAGTAAAATTAAACTAATTTAATAAGATTAGGGTTTTGCTTAAAATGAAGAGTTAATTATTATAAATTGTAAGAATTTTGTGTTCATTTTATTCAAATAATGCTTCATGTTATTATATCAAATAATTACAATGATATGTTTTCTAAATTATTTCATTTTTACTTTTCTAGTCTATATTATATTTTTTTGCCTTTTATACAATATTTATTTTATATAACTTAAATATCTTATTTCTAAAACTATGTTTTAAAGTTTATTCTTTATCTTACGACACAGTAATTGATTATAAATTTAATCCTTTATTTATAATTATGCATAATTATTTAGACTAAACTCCATAAGCTACATTTATCAACCATACTACGGTACATGCATTTTTAAACTATAAACAGTAGATAGATTATCAAAATTAAATATACCTAATAGGTAAATTAGTAAGTTATCATTTTGAATATCATACTAATAAACTGATAAAGCATTATATGAATCAGTTCTCTTAATTCAAATCTAAATAAATAAATTAATTTAATTTAATTTTTTATTAAAAGTTATTTTAGTTTGAGGAAAATATGGTAAATTTTAAATTCTATCAAAACATTAAAAATTAAATTAAAAACAAAACTTAAATTGTGTAGTTTTCCTTAATGATAGAGACATTCAAAGTGGATATAATTGTTGAAATTATAAATACGATAACAATCTAATTGTATGTTTAATTTTTATTTTTTATTATGAATATTTTACCAAATAATAGCAACGTTATTTTACAAAAATGAGGTTTATTCGAAGCAAATTAAATAAAATACATTAATTGAACTGAGTTTTTAATTTTAGGCTTTAAATATGAGATGTTTTTGTGCTCAACAAATAGAAGGCCAGCGATGGCTGTCTAGGCCAGGGATGTCTGTTACGAGACTTTCATCCATCTGTCAATGTATGCAAGAGATGGTCCGATCAGACATTTCTTGTCTGAGAAACTAATTAATTCATTATTTCTACTGAACTCACTCTCATATCGTATGACATTAGTCTATAGAGCTTATTATTTTATTACAAGTAACTTACATTAAAATTAATATCCATAATAATAAGTCATTTAAGGACTTATTTCTAGTTTTAAACCTTATTAATTATAAAATAAATTTTAAATAAAAACAAGTAAAAGTTAGATTTAAAATTCTATAATTTGCGTTATAATAAAATGACATGAATACCTTTTGTGTGATAAGATGCACAATGCATTTATGACCAATTAATGACTTAATATTCAGAGACCATAGAAAATATTATCAAATAAAAATATAAGTTTTAATATAGTTCTCACATTTGATTAGAGAATTTTTAAAAATTCTTGAAAATGTTACGAATTGATTTTGAAATGAATAATTTATGAGTCAATATAGAGTTGATTAGAGAACATATTAGAAAATATAAAATCCCACAAATTTATGACTGAAGATATGCACCAATGATGTGTTGGTCGGACTCTACTCAACATATTTACTGAGTTATCATTTGGTGGAGAAATGAGAGATGAATGATGAGAGTCCGGCTCTCTTTCAACTTTCGCTTATCCACTGATAAGTATGCGATCGTAGCCTAAACGGCACTCACCATCTGAGGGACAGACAGACACTCACTGTTTCTCATTATTATTGCATTTTATATTCCAGTCCTTCTCTAAAATACCAATCGGTTAGAAGAGCCAAAGAAATCGCTTAATAAATGAAAGCTTAGAACATGAGTTCTCTCTCTCTCTCTCTCGCTCTCTCTCTCTCTCTCTCTCTGTATGCAAAACTTTTATAGCCCTCCAATTGAAGCCAGTTTTGGGATTAAAATCAGTGCCACTAAAGCCAAAGAACTACATTCACCACAACTCTTGCAATTGTTTGCTCTCATGAATAAACATTACGCTTGCTTTTGGCACAAAACCTACACTCAATACTACCGGAGCTCTTAATATTATACTACAGGAGCGTCACATTTATCTTTTAAATCAAGATTAAAGTCTTATTAGATTTCTTGTAAATAATGATAACAAAATTTAGATAAATTACAAAAAACATTAAAATGCATTCAATTTATTTAGCGATAAATTAAATCGGTATTTAATTATTTAAGTTTCAAACAATTCTTATACAAAATATAATATATTAAACCATTTTGATGGTGTGTCTGTAAAACAATTAATGTTTAGTGTCTAAGAGGACGCACTGTTCGGTTGCGGGATATTCAGGTAAATTGAGTCCATATTGTTGAGCCAAAACCGGAGGAATGAATCGTCCGCCCAACCAATGGTAGCGTCCATTGAAATGTTTGGCACATTTCTTGGGAGCCGTCAGAGAGACCAAACAATCGGCTACAATAAGAGGCGTGTCGTCTGTTGGCGGGCCCTCCTCTACATCCCAACCGCTCGGTATATCGACACTTATAATGGGAACCCCTGTGGCACCCGCCTCAGCTATTTTGGTTAATATTTGCGCGAATTGAGGCCTAACGGGAGGTTTATAACTGAAACCGAATATGGCGTCCACTATAAGACTGTACGAATCAATTAGGAGACGATTGTCTTGTGGCAAGTCTGCGATGAACTGAATGTCGAATCGGTTGCACTGATTGACTAAATTCTTGAACAACTGAGAAGTGCCGGCCTTTGGGTAGAATATTGTCGGACGGAATCCCTGCGAGACATCACATATTGACACGAATTAGCATTAATTGACAAACAATTGCAACAAATGAGTAAAACTGACAAACAGTTTGAGATGACGGGCGGCCACGAGTCCGTCGCCGCCGTTATTGCCGGGACCGCAACAGATGAGAACCGTTGGCCGGTTATCGCCATTGACGGTACGGTAGCTTTTGGCGATGGCTGTGGCAACACTCAGACCCGCCAACTCCATCAGCTGATCCACACTAAAGCCATACTCGGAGAACAACTCTTCATCTATTTTGATGGCTTCGTTTTGACTGCAATTCATCAATGTTTCAATACATCAACTGTTTGTCCAATTAATCATCATGTTTAAGAACATTTTGATTACCTTGCTTATACTGTCAATACACTATTGTCTACACTACTTGTCTCATAAAGGAATCAATTTAGCAGGATAGCTTTCGTTTTAAGAAAAATTGATTTTTAAAACTTAAATAACTTTAAAAGTAATTGCAATTCAATGACAAATAGTATCGCAAATTATAGCTTAGTTCAGGATCTACAACTTTATGTACATAAGTGCCACAATTAGCTAGGTAATTGTGGTTAAAAATATTGATAATAATATTGATGACTATATTTGTGTTGAACTGTCTAAATGAATGATCACAACACCAGAGATAGAAATGAATTGTGTCTGGTTAATTTTTAAATCACCGTTTAATTGTAAATCAAATTAAGAAAATTTCATTATAATTTAACCATGCTATTCAATGGGAGTCAACTCGAGTGATATTTTGTCTTAAAACGAAAGCTATTATACTAATTGAACTGATCCTATGGTGATCTATGTCTTGTAATGTTGTCTAAATTTAGACCTAATACTAAATTAATTGCTTATATTTGTAAACATATCATCATTTTTATGATTTAAATTTAAGAAAATATCATTTCTTTCATTTACTGCCAAAAATTACTTCAAATTACCAAGATGATTGTCAGAACTTATTTACCTAGATAGTATTTTTAGAATTTCACAGCATAAATAAGTAAATAAATTATAAAAACTATTTCAGTATATAATATATATTATTGAATCTACATACATAATTATTGATATATTTGAATCAATATAAAAAGTGATCTAGTTATTAAAACTGAATTCATGAACAACTAATTCATTACAAATATACAAACTGTACGGTAAGTCAAGTGTTTGGTTTACCTTAAATATTTTACATCCATTTTATGAGTCAGTTTGCGGTTCAATTGAGTCAATGATTGGTTCACTAAGTGATTGATCAAGGTAGTCCGTTTAATTAATAAACTAATCATACAATTATTCAATGAATATCACTTTAAACGCAAAGTTTGTATTGAATTCACGAATGAATTGTTATTGAAGTGAATGTATGAGTGATTGCAACCGAGATAGCGCTTCAATAGGGTTCACATTATTTGCACCAAATATTACCCACTCTTTCCCATCCCATCCCATGTCATCCCTTTCCCGATTGTTTGAGTCTACTTCCAATCGCATCTTAAATGACTTTGATTTGAATTTCAATTACATTTTATATGATTTTAAAAGTAGACAAATAAAAAGAATTGAAAATACCGGTTTGATTGACCAAAGCTATACTAATTTGTTTATACCGGTACAGTATTCTCATTATTACAAATTACATATCAATACAAACACATTGATTGAAACTTCAAAGTGCAGACCAAATTCATTTAATTGTCACTCAAATAGACCGATAATTTGTAAACCCGATTGTATGAACACTACATATTATGCCTACAGTGCAAGTGGCAATGTACAGCAGTAGTTCATCAAATGTACAGCACTTTAAGAGCTCCAGTGAACTTTTCAAAATTCAAAGTTTCAATGCAATCCTTTCAAGAGATATAAATCTCTTGCATAACTTAATATAACTCTTAAATTAAATAATTATTCACTAATTTAGGGCACAGTTGACGTCAGTTTCATAATTATTACGGTACTACGAGTTATTATTCACTATAATTTATAACACATATTTTAGACTGGATACGTTTTATTACTAAACACTATTGAAAGATTAGTTTTTAATCATTAGTGAAATAAATACAAAATATGGTTACTTTTTAGTCATTTACACAAATGTT